CATCCCTATTATATCAAACATGCCCTCAGGTGATGTTAAGGTTTAAAAGCCTTGAGGTGAAAAGAAATGTTTGACTCTTTACTCTCTGAACCCAGCATGACTCTTAAATTGAGCTGGTATAATATCTTTCCCATGATGCTGGTGAAGGAGCAACAAGCTGTCACCGCTCTCTACAGGAAACATTGAACATGCCTGTTCAGGGAGATCATAAATTCATCACAGTGACATCCTAGAGCAAGCTCTGCTGACTCAACCTTGATCGATTGCAGGCAGGACGACAGATGGCCAGAAAGGACAATCATATATAACTGTATGGCCATTAGCATAATTACATGCATATAGGGAACAAGTCATGGTACAAGCCCATTTTAGGGCTGTTAAATATCAGGGGGTGAGTGTCAGAGGTGCTATATAAATATTTTTAAATTAGTAAACCAGTAGGTAAACGCACTGAAGGGATCTATATTTGAAAATGTAGGCTGTTCAAGATGGTGACAATAGGACACCCGCTTATAGCTTTACGAAAACTGCAAAGCATGAATGAATCCCATAAACGTTGAAGCCATAACCTACTTTGTGTTGTTACTGTGTTATTACAACAGCATCCACAACTGGGAAGATAATAAGATACTGAATAACAATAATTGCCTGCTATTGAAAGAAGTCTTATGACATCAAATGTGTTTTGAGGGTCATGACATCTGATTTACATGCAAAGTCTATGGAGGATAGCATTTAGCATCAAAAGGTCCAGCGGCACAGTTTGGGCATTGGGAGGAGAGCATTTAAGAATCCAGCATCTGAGCGTCAACCAATCAGAGAAGCTGATCAAGGAGAAAGACACTACAGCCAAACCATGATCGCTTCTGCAGAGCTGTCAGCACCGAACTATGAAAAAAGTATATCAAGGAGTTAAACTCCATTATTTTTACTAAAAAAACCCAGGGGAATAGATTTTTTGTACAAGAAAGGAGTGATCTGATCATTAATACTCCACTACAAAAAATGTATACTGAACTCTGGCAAAACAGTTTATAATACCTGCATTCACTAAAACTAGCTAAATTTCCCAGCGAAAAATATTTAGTTTTATTGCCTGGTACTTGCAGTTTTACCACGTACCTAAGAAATGTTTTATACTTTTAGTCACTAGGAACCAGAGAAGGAAAGCTTGCCAGTTTCAGAGTGCTTTAACTGGTGACTCCCAGCACTGTCCCCTGATGGTATGCAGAGGTGCACCGAACGAGAACAGAATATTTAAATACCATCATAATCCTGATGATGACACTGCACAGTAGGGTTGTCAAAAGTATCGATACTCAAAAAAGTATAGATACTGAAATGTTGTATCCGGATACAATACTCGTTTTTAAAAGTATCGATACAGTGCCACCACCAGTGGCACCTAAGCAGTCCTCTAAAATGCAGAATAGAGGACAATGCACTTTCAGAACACTGTGTGATTGAATAATTCTGTGCACTTTTCAGTTTCAGACTTTTTTTTATAAGAGGTGCAGCTGCTGAGAATTATTTTTGTTTCTTAACCAGTTTGGCTAGTGTCACTGTTATGTGTGCAAAGCATAGCCAAGGAGGGAACACTTAATTTTATAAGTTTTTTATCAAGCTTGCTTAATATTGTGCACAGCATACAACCTCAAAATATTGTTCTTATTGTTTATTGTATTTATTTATTGTATTTTATTTATTAATGAAAATCTGTAGAATTTTGGAGTCTTTGTTTTTATCCTTGTGGTATCGAAAATGGTATCGAGTATCGAATATTTTCCTTTGTATCGGTATCGAGTTGAAAAGTTTAGTATCATGACAACCCTACTGCACAGCTGACGTTTTGAGGTAAACTAATTTGCTTAAAAACATCTTAAAGCTGCTTTTTTTCTCTACTCATCAAAGCAAATAACATAAATGTCCAAGTTGAAACACTGGAGACCATTTTGACATAAATGTGTTTGGTGTGCAGACACCAATACATTAAAAAGTTTTTGAACCCCATGAGGAAATGTTTTTGTGCAACTCTTAAATAGTGATAATACAATTATTTCAACCACTCTAAATATCCTCTTCAAATATGTGGAGGAAAGCTTTAACAATTGATTGGAAAATAACTGATGATAACTGCAGGTAAGACTACGATATAGATGTCTGAATCCTGCCAAACTTGGCAGCCTTTCTGGTCCCTCTGCTTTTGAAAGTGTATGATGCCTCTGTATCACAACATCTTAATATACAGGGGAAACAATAAAGCAGGGATAATGAACTAAAAGTTCCAAACAAATTCTGCTTTGCATGAAGATGTGAGTCCTGGTTTGTCGCCAAGTGAAATCTTTTGTAGTTTTCTTCTCATGGGAAAGCAATCAGACTACCAAGTGAACCAAAGAGGGAAAATTAAACCTGTTCTACGGATCTGTATCTGATATGAAAACATAAATCCTCACCATTTCCATGAGTAACCGGAGCAGAGCGTTTTGCATGTACTACTGCAATGGCCTTATGTACCCAAAGCATGCTGACACCTCGCTCCCTCCCCCTATGGCAAGTCAGTTTAACATTTTATAGCCAGTGACCATTTTTTAATAAAAAATGTGTTCATTAATTCTTTATCTAAGGTGAACGCCTCAGCTATCTCAAATATAATGTTTCTTTGGAAAACTGACTTAGCATTTTTCATTTATTCATATCAGGTTTGCAGCTTCACCTACTAATACATCAAACCAAACCTGGCTCCCTAGACTATCGTGAATGAAAACACCTTGAAACCTTAGTTTAAAAGATGAATGTTTGGTAAGTTTACAACCTAACTGAGCATAAACACATTTCTCAACAGGCTTGTTTATCAGTTAATTTGAAATATTGGTGAATTTACTACGTCAATTCTACTATGAACAATCGAAAACCAGCAACATGACGACTCACCCTACAAACAGTATTTGTAATTCATCCACAGGGAAACATGCTGTAAAAGTCATTCTTAATACATGAAGATAAAACCTTTATATGACCTATTCTATTAAGTTGCATGCAGACTTTCTCAATATTGTGTTGGTAAACAGGCTACTATAATAGTGTCCTCTTTATGAAAACTTGCATTTTTTTTTAAATGTGACATTTCCAAACCAAATTGATAGACTCTCACTTTATATTTAAACACTTTAGTCCACACATTCTGTTCCTCCTGGTTTCTATCTGGCTTTCAAACATGGCTTCGGTTCTTTTGTTGCAATCCCGGGCTCCCACTTATCACCCAGATAACTTCCTTCAACATTGTATGTTCAGATTTCAAACAGCCTACAGATTTGCAAACACAACTGTCTAAAGAAAAGCAGATGATAAGGTGTAAAGAAAAGAAGAGACCCAAATAAAAATAAAGAGAGTGAGAAATAAGAGCAAAGACAGAGTAAGGTTAAAGGGGAAAACCAAAAAGACTATATAAAAGAGATCAAAAAAGAAAGTGATGAAATAAGATGCTGAGAAGTATGAGGTTGGCAAAATGAAAGAAATCTCCATGGAAATGATGGAAGTGAAGTAAAAGATAGGAGAGAAATAGAAAACAGAATAGCAGAGACAGCAAGAGGATACAGGGGCAGAGAGGTGTGGAGTAGTCCAGAGATTTATGGCAGGTTGTTATGGAGCACCGACTGAATAACGGAGGGTGAGACCAGGTGAATTATTCATGACTATACTGGGGCTGAGAGTGTGTGTTATAAGTAGGTGATGGGAAGCAAGTGAAACACACAAATACTAACTTTCCCCACAGAAACCTCGAGGAACTGAATAAAGCAGTGAGAGGCTGTCCAAAGCTTAAGATCAAATTATAAAGGGACACAACATCCCACAAACCTGCAGAACGGAGAGGTATTTGGAGAGCTCTGAAAACAGGAATCCTGAAGGAAATTAAACTTTGATCTATCTGGCTCTTCTTGATGTCAGTGCTGGAAATGTTCCTTTTAATCCTCCAGTACCTCCTAAGCAACAGTCAGTTTAGTTCTAGATATCGAAGCTTCTTTAGATTTTTTTTCCAACTGAATGACAATCAGACTGGAAATTTTTCATTTTGGAATAAATACCACATTTGCCTTAAGCGGATTAGAGGAAATGTACTGCTTTGGCTACCCACTCTCCCTCTCTTGTATATCACTGGTATAATGGTATTGCTGTAAATGAGCATTGCAACCTACAGTTTGTCTACTTTGGTTCCAACATGCAAGAGAGTTTTTTTTGAGGATTTAAATACGTTTTGTAAAATATTTTTCAATGCAATATTGCCATCGAAGAGATATGAATATGTCGATTTTCCATTTATGTTTTATTTTTAATGCTTTTTGAGCTGGATTATATCAAAAATACCCAAAGATTATAATTCAGTTACTGATAGGAAATGAATGATTCTCAGAAATGCTAAATCTAATTTTTATACTACTCAGCGATCGGACATCTAAGTGCTTACACGGTCTGAGTAACAAGCTTCTTTAATATTAATGGTGTTAATATAGGAAAAAGATCTAAAGTTGTTTCTATTCAGGATAAGTGAGGTTAATTAGTGCTTAAAAAATGGATTAAAATTTTAAATCAAATTTTTTTTTTTAAAGGTAAAAAATATTTTGTGACGCATGCCCAAAACATTTACTAGTTATTCACTCTCATCCAAGAGAGGGAAAGGAAGAGAGAGCAAGAATTTCAGAAGCCAATAGAAAGGCTAAACAACCTTTTGAGTTTTTTTCAACCACTTTTTACCAGATTCCTTTAAACAAAAAAACAAATAGAAGACTTAAATGTCATAACAGATGTCATAACTAAAGTAGAAAACAGAGTTAGAAATGTTGAACTGCTTAAACAGTAAAAAGAAATTCTCTAGAAGCATAACAGCGATGCAGTACAGCCTGTGTTGAGCTGCTGGCTCCACAATCTGTATGTGTATGGATGAGCATGTAATCTATATTCAGATCACAAAGGCACTTCTGGGAAATACTGTCTCAAACACTCACCGAGTTGATGCAGGCCAGCTCCTTGTTGAGCAGCCAGGGAAGGGAGAGTTTCCCCTCTCCTTTGTAGCATGACTGAATCCTTTCTTTAATCTTTTCCTTTATCTGCCTCATTGTGAACAAACACAAAGCTGACTCTTTGGGCGGCTTCTCTCTGTTCTTCTGACCTTGGGCAAATACAGTGAAGAGAACCTCCTCGTGCTCTCGAATGCCAAGGGAACGAGCCAAGCGCGATCCTGGTCGGGCCAAATAAGCATCCTGAACCAAGCGGTACTCCACTCCGTCCTTAGTGCAGCCAATGGGGAATTCAACATACGAGTAGAACTTGGGATCATCAACGCATAAGCGGACAATCTTGGAAGTGAAGAACTGTTCGCTGTTTGCGTCTGGTGAAGTCAATTGGGTGTCAAGTTGTAAGGTGAGGTAGTACACAAATTGCTCACTGTTGAAGCCATAAATGTAGTAGATGTCAAACGCTGGGAACTTGGACAGAGTGTCAGAGGGAATCTTAAGCTGGGAAGACACAAACTCATCCTGGTACACAAAGCTGAACATGTCAGCATTCTCCTCGTTCGACATTAGCTTGCGACTAGATAGCGTAGGGAAATACTCAGACTTTCCCTTAATGGGGGTGCCAACAAAGAGTTTGCTCCCCCCACCAAAAATATCAGGTGGGATCACTACGCCAGACATAGTGTCTGGCTCTGCAACGCTGGATAGATAATGCTCTTTACGGTGGTGTGGCTCACCAAGCTTAAATAAATCATCCAGGCGCAGGAACTGGCATATTCCCTGGGAAGTACTCCCACACGCAATTAAGCGGTTGTGGGCAGCATCAAGTAGCAGGAGTTTATTGACATTAGAAGTCTGCACTAGCTCATGTGGGCATGACTGGACACCAGGGGGAGGGTAACAGCGAGGGTTGTCAGTGACAGGCCCAGTAACGTGGCTCCGCAGCTTGGTGAGATTGCTGGATAGCTTGTAGATCCAATTGACAGCACCCAGGTAGACCTCTCCCGTTTTGTTGTGGACCACCAAATGCGTGAGACCACCTTCTGGCGGAGAGAAGGAGAGGAGAGAAGAGACAGGAGGGGTGGTTGAGGTGGTGGTCTGGGGCAGGCAGCAAAGAAGGAGTAAGGGGAAGATCAGAAGGGGTGGATTAAGGTGTGAGGACATGGTGGTGAGGGAAGGGGAGTGTGTGTTAGTGTGTATTTTTGAGATTGCAATCTGCGAAGCGGTCAGTCAGTGCCTTATAAGACTGCAGGGGAAAAAGATGGATAAAAAAAAGTCTTGAAGTAGTAATCTTCCTGTTCTCTTTTATCCTCCACTCCCGTGTGGATTTATATCCTCATCCCCTGATCCTCAGCTTCGTCCACCATCAGCCCTGAGAGCAAAAGAAAGAAAAACATTAGCAAATGTCTCAATTCCTTTTATACACTCACATATATATATTTTTTTTTTCTTTTTTTATTCAAATATCTAATTGGTATAATTTAGTGATGATAAAGAGAAGACAATGAATGATGACACAGACTCACCAAGACCGTGGATAAAGACATTAATCTAAAATATAACAACTGGAGGTCTATTTCACTGCCTTCTCTGCTCTGCTTCTACCTCTGATGTGAAATCTTTTTTTTAAACTAAACAAAACCTTGATCTGCTGTGTTTTGACTGCCTGAAGGTATAATATGATTCAGCTAAAGTGAACACAGATACTTTCATATCATAAAGCCTTGCGATTCTTTTATACAATCTTTCTGATAAACAATTAGTGTTAGCAACCATACTTTTTTAGCTGCTTCATAAACTAATAAATCTGATTTTTTGTTTAAGTTTGCATACAGTTGTTATTTTTGGAGTACGAAGAGCCATAAAGCAGTGAGAGATTCTCAGTTGCAGGATTACTGTCAGACTGGTGCCCCTGGTTCAAGAAATAAGTAAAAATGTCTTAAATCACGTGTTTTTACCCTTGATTTGTGTAGCTAAATTAGATAGTTTGCCAATGAAATTAGTAATTTTTACTCTTAAAATAAGACAATCAGATAATATGCACTTGAAATAAGACAATGCAATGTGTTTTCTTATTTTAAGTGTAAATTGTCTTGTTCTATTAGGAAAATGACTCTTTTACCTCCTCAATTCAAGAACAAATGCAGTTATTTTAAGAAAAAAACGACTTATCTAGATTTCCAGTGTTCAGCTGATTTTAGCCACGTATCCAACCGATTTAAAATGTGGGAGACGGTTCTACTGTAAATGGGTGGAAACATTATAAGCCCTGTTAAAGGCTCCATTCGGTACTAAAATATGTATTCTGCTAAAACATTGCAGGTTGCTCCAAGTCTTCCAAGAAGAAGTTTTCCTTTGTTTTTCAGATATTGGCCGTGATTTGTGTGATGTCATCGAGGAAGGTTCGCCTCGTGCCTTTAAGGTTCTATGCTTTTGCCCTTTTTCAGCATTCAGATCAATGGGTGAATTCAATAAGAACACAGAGAAGCAACATTTTTACTTATTTCAATGCAGTTAAAGTGCATGTATGTATAACCAGAATTGTTTACTTTAGACATCATAGATGCAAGGCCATTAAGAAAGTCTAGCTTGTATTAAGTAAATTGTTCTAAAGTTTTGCAAGCTCAGTTTCTGGTTTGATCTGTGTAGATTAGGTCTAGAATGACCCAGGCATCAGGCTGAAATCTAATCGGTTTAGATTTAGGAGGATGGTCGTATGAAGGCCATCAGAGTCAGAGTTAATGTTTTACTCTAATTGCTACAAATGTTCTGAGGTTTGCGTCAAAGCTGTACAGGGTCGCAATTGTTTCAATGGAAGCAAGCTCATTTACTTGCAATCTACTAATCTCAGCAGGTAATAGGTATACATCTAATTAAAGAGCTAGTGCAAGTAGATTAGTAGACTTGCTTAGCAAAAATTTTCTACATCTTTGATAAAGGTCTGACTAGCTGTTAATCTTCCATATGTTTATTCTCCCAACTTTTTTTCTACAAAGTCAAACAGAATAATTCTCCATATCAACTATAACTGATATAAACTTCACATAAACTAATTTAAATAACTGATACGGCCTGTAAGGATATAGTTTTTGTCAGGTCTCAGATGGGGGCGACTCTAAATATTTAAAATATCTAAATTCACAGATTTATAATGGATCCCTTCAGTGTTGCATATTGCCTAGTCCATATAATCTGACTATGTGAAGTACTTAGCATGTTTATTTATTTAAATACTGCATTTTTAAAGAGACGCACAAGAACCCACATGAAGAATAGCAGGAACAGATCAATTACAAGCAGGATAGTATATAAAAGCAAAACATATATCTACTTGGAAGAAGTGGAGAAGAAAAGAAAAAAAACAATCCACCTTTTCAAACAAAGAACAGGGCAGGGAGAAACCATCCAAACTGATAAAGCAGGAAGACGGAGAGAGGGACAAAAGTGAAGGCTATTTGGCTTTACACCAGCAGAATATAAAAGCAGTGGAGATGGTGAGAGCAGATTGCTATGAAAGCTAACAAAAAGAATGAGAGATGGACCATCCATCCACTTCTTATTACAACCATCCATTCATTCGTTTTCAATATCCGCTTATCTGATCAGAAAACATGAGAAGCTGGGGCAGTTTTTAAAATACAATCGAGGAAAGGTAAGTTCTGGAATAATAGCTTGCTCCTCTACATGCACAGGAATCGCCGCAAGAAACAGGAATAATCTTTGGTTTCTAAGAACAAGGCTATAAAAAGTCAGGTTTGAAAATGTATTTTATTCCACAATAATGATATTAAATTTAAACCAAACAATGACAACATCTATTGATATGACCAATAAACAGCCCTAACCTTAACCCTTTTTGCACTTTTTACTTATTGCACTCATACTGCCAGACATGTGGTCTTGTTCTAATAAGTCCCAAACATCCTAGTTTACAAGGGAAGCAAAAACAAACAATAAATCCCAGAAATCAAATATAATAAACATACAGATTTATTATAGACACATCTGAAATGCCCAACCAGAGTGAGCTACTGGCATACATGTTCTCAAAGTTAGAGAATGTGATTAGTCCCCTTTAAAGTACAAGAAATGTCAAATAAATGTAAATAAAAGTAAAATATTATATTTTTTTGGGAATAACTGATAGACCTTGATACCAGAAGCCAGTCCATACCTCTTTATAGCAGTGTGTCTACCACTCTTTATTAATTCACAGCCAGGATCAGATCACAAGGCGCAGGCTTGTGTCATAAAAGCGTTTGGTCAGCAAAGTATTCCCGTCCCCTATTTCTGCTTCTTTTCCTCCTTTCATTGCATTCCTCTCTCTCCCTCTCCTCTCAGACACTTTGCTCTCTGTCAATGGTGTCTTTCATCTCCTGCCCAGCCATGATTACAGTGGCCCTGATGACGATGCTGCTGCCTGTCCCATCAGGACAATCCAGCCACTGTTAGTGTTTCAGCCGCTCACACTAAAAGCATGCAGCATAGATGTACAGTACGCTGTCCAAAACCATTTAGAACACATTAAAGAAGCCTCAACACACCAACGCTTGAGATTTACAAAAATAAAATGAGCTGACTGCTTATTCCTGTAAAACAAATAAGGAAACAAAAATTCATAAAATACTCTAAATACATGAAAGTGTGGCAATTCTTGACACTTTATGTTTTATGATCTACTGTAGAAATGCTATAAATAGCATAAGGTTTTGACTTGCTAGGATATGGTAACCAGTGAAACTGTTCTGTGATGTTCTCTCCCGATGTTTGACTAAACTAGGACAAACAGATGAGAGGAAGAAGGAGACGTCCACGAACAGGAAAACTGGGTAGGGATTTAAAGGTCCGTCTTTGAAACGCTGAGTTAGATCAAAAAGAGAAAATGTTCCTTTTTTGTAGGAAATTTGTTAGAACAGTTATTGTAGACACATAAATGATAAAAGCAAATCTGAATGAAGATATGGGACAGGATGTTCTAAAAGGGTCCAAATTTCCATCTGTGTACTCAAAACTACCCATATTTAAACATCAAACAGCCTTGCAATGCTGCAGCAACTTGAAAAATGAAATATTTTTGGGCAAGATCTGAAGTATGAGGATGTCACACTACCAAGATTTCCAAAGTCAAGACTTTGAGAGCCTTTAAAACAACACAATATCACTTTAAAACCAATTATTAGCTTAATTTGAGTTATATTAAAGTATTATTTATGTTAGTTTACAGCACTTGGTGCATATTGTTCCTCCATTTGGTCCGCACTTCACAAAAACCCACCTAGGTAACTTGAGAGGCTGAGATCCGTTGATGGATCTTGGAGTTAGAGTCCCTCTTTATGGCATTTTGAGCTTAGTGTTGCTTTAAATGAGACCAAAGAGACAGTTAAGGTTAAAATGTACTAGATAAAAAAGAAGTACAAATAAAATATTATGTAATCCTTCATTCAAATATTATTTAGAGCCAACTTTTGCCTGAAAAGTTGACAAAACAGCTCTGATGCATGATCATCTGATGCATGATTACTCATGAGATGAGTAACTGCTGTTGGCACATCAGCTTCTGGCACAGCCAGCCAACATCTTAACCAATGTATTCACACCACTCTTTTAGCACTGAGCTTTCCTAAGTTTCTATTCCAATTATTTATACAAACATAAACAAAAGCATGTGTAGGTGTATTAACCAATACATTAACTCGGTATGTATATTACATATACTTAAAGTCTAGATAGATCTAAAGGTAAGCACAAGATTTAAATTCAAACTGACACTTTTCCAGGTTTACCGGTTAGTCTTGAACAAAATCTGCAAAGAAGAGTGAAATCTATGGCGACAGGAAGTGGATTAAAGTACTTGAAACTTTGGCCTACTTTGGTTACCCTTTTGATTAAAGCAAGTGACCCCTAGAGAGACGTCGTCCTGCATATAATCACTTGCATAATCAAGTCGCTACACTTTAAGCAGGTTTTTCAGCTTAGTCTTTAAGATTACATTTTTTTGCACCTTGCACTGAAGGTTGTATTTATGTGAACTTTAAACCTGTTGGCAGGTGACCTTTTAAAGCAGTCAATTTACATGTAATCAAGCCTTTGCCTCCTAATTACTGACTAGCTTTTTTAAGGTTAGGTTTACAAATTATATGTGTTTTTTTAAGTGGTTCGGTTTTTTAAGGATGGCAGAAAAGGTGAAAGCTTATCCTTTTACACAGGATCAGTGATTGTATTTGAACTTAAAGGTCTTTTAAATTGAAGTTTAAAGTAGGTAAGCTATCTTAGGCCTCAGAGAGCTAGGAGAGATTCAAAATTTTAAGCGATACCAGAAAGGCTGAAAAATTTATAGCACAGTTGCTATTTTTATTATTTCAAGGCTTTAAT